AAATTCTGTTAGATAAACAAATGTCTGTTAGGGTTAGGGAGTTTGTAGGAAATATTGTGTTGGTACTGTCAGTTCCTCTTCAAGACTCTTCGGTTTCAGTTATTCATTTGCAAAATAACTTACTGTTACACTTACTGTACTTTTGGTCCGGAGGAACATTACAAAAGGAAGTGTGAATGCTTCACAACCACTGTATTCATTTCCTATAAATGTGTTATTTACAGCACAAATGTAAACTGACAGATACGGTCAGTGGAGAAATTATTTGGTCAGAGCAGGGGTAGACAAGTTCGGTCCTAGAGAGCCGCTGTCCTGCAGAGTTTAGCTCCAACCCTAATCAAACACACCTGAATAAACTAATCAATGTCTTCAGGATTACTAAGGCTACATAGGTGCGCTTTTTTCAAGGTTGGAGCTGAACTCTGCAAGACTGCGGCTCTCTAGGACCAAACATGCCAGAGAGGTCAGAGAGATCAGGCTAACACACATCTAACACACATTAACTAGTTTTACCTTCTGTAATCAGCTAGAGGTTATTGCTGTTTGTGACGAGTGGGGGCGGGGCCAGTGGAGTAATTGATAATGAGCGACACCTGCACCACTCACCGGTCTCGAGTCCCACGGAGGAGCTCCGGAAGGATAAAAGTAGGAGTGACGACAGTGAAAGAGGAGAGAGGAACAGGCCTGGATTTTATTTTGTGTTTTGGTTCTGTTTGTGCGCGACAGTCGTCCGCGAGGGGCTGTCGCGCTATTTTGGGTTTATTTTATTATTAAAGTTTTATTTAAATGTTCGCCGGTTCCCGCCTCCTTCTTCCCGAACTACGAACTTTGTTACATTGTTTTTCACCCATGTCTCCCTTTGGGTTTTGCCATACTTATAACTGTTAACCTGGAGCCATTAGGTTTTTATCTTTTGTTCATAATTATTTGCATTTTTATGAGTTCAACAAGTTTGATAATAAATTGTTGCCATGTCTGCTTTGGTTGTTGTAAGTATTGTAAAAATGTACAGAAGCAAACAAACAATATGGTCTCTTCTTCACTCCATTTAATGCAATATGGTTCGATCACTGTTCAGTTAAATTAAACTAAATGCGTAAAAGTTTGTTAGACTCACTAAAGCACATGAATTTTAATGAATTAAGCACTGTTCATAAAACTTATATTATATAACACTAAAATATGTATTTTTTAAGTAGATGAAACAATTATTTAAAAAATAAAACAAAGATTATTAGAGTATTCAAGAAAATATTGTTTCAGATTTTGTAATTCAAAATTTCATGTTTGTTTCCCAAAGTTACAAAAATGTTTCTGAAATTTACTAGCAATTTTTGAGTGAAAATTGTTTCCACACCAACTGTTTTTCAGAGTACTTAATCGCTGTAACATTTAACATTCATTGGCTAATTTAAAGGGGTCATCGGATGCAAAATTCACTTTTACATGTTGTTTGAACTGAAATGTGTGTTGGCAGTGTGTGTACACAACCACCCTATAATGATAAAAATCCACACAGTGGTTTTTGAAAAATATTGATAAATCATGACCCCTTTCTAAAATCAATCCGTTCTCAGATTCTTGGCTGTGTGATGTCACACAAACCCAGGCCCCTCCCACGATTGTTGATTGACACTAGTGTTTTACCTTAGACCTGAGTGAGCTGTCATCAGTCCACCATTGTTTCTGCGCCGGAGCAGATGTAGACAAGAATGTCTCCTAAGCGATTGAGATGTTTTGTTATTGGATTTAATAATGAACATAGCAGTCGTCATTTACTCCCGACATCCAAACCGCTGAAGACGCAGTGGATTTGCTTTTGAAGGGAATACGTCCTCTGATCTACCTAAATGCGTCTATGTTCGCGCGAATCATTTGTGATCCAACTTCACCTCCAGAAGAAGTGAGTATTAATTTTTTTTTATGAATTTTGCAAATCGCCTTTCCTAATAATGTGCTAGTTTCACGACGAATGCGGCTAAAGTTTACTGTCTCTCAGAGAACTGTGCATCACCCCACAGAAGAGAGGGGCGGGGTGAGCGGAGCTCATTAGCATTTAAAGGGAAATGCACCATAATGGCTTGCTGTGAACAGAGCTGTTTTTGACAGGTTTAAAGGGTGTTTTTTACACTACTATTGAGAAATTTTAACCAAACTATGTTATAGACTTTTCATTAAGACCCTAAAGAATCATATCAACTTGTGGAAAATGGGCATCCGATGACCCCTTTAAGGGAACCCTAAACTTTTATAGACTTACAAAAGTAAATCTAAAATATTGCTTTACCCAGGTTAAAATGTACCCTTAAGCCCTATTCGCACGGGAGTGCTAATTTTTAGAATACTAATTTTTAGTATTATTTTTAGTATTATCTGGGGACCTTGTGTGATTTTGAAATTACCCCCCCACATCTGAATTTCGTGTGGTGCATTCGCACGGGATAAGCGGAGCCTGTGATTTTAGTCGAATTTACTCTGACTTATCTCCCGGATACGATGTCAAGGCTTGAGAGTTCCGTTCTATGGTCCGGTTAGATGTATTTAAAAAAATTAACTAATATAGTGTCGTGCCCTGTGTCATTTACATTTCACCAGGTTAAAATAATATCTCTCTATATAATAATATGTAACACATTAACCTCAAAACCTTTTCAGCTTTCTCTTTCTGCAAATTGTATGGTGTAGCGATATGACGTACAGCACCCAAAATTACTATCAAACACTCCAACGCAGCTCCATTCTTCGTGAAAGATGGATAAAAAATGCGCACAGGAAACAAAGACCTCGAAAAATGATATACGACCCGCCAAATGCTGGCCAAATCACAGAGATGCCGATTCGCACGGGACTAATATTATCACAGGACCTCGGTGTTCGGCGAAATGATGTAGGTCATTTGCGGGGGAATTTTTACTTTACAAATTACAGACATGGCCGATTCGCACGGGATTAAGATCACAGACAACCTCCGCAATTATTACAAATGACTGAAGGTCAACAGGTAATACTAATCCCGTGCGAATAGGGCTTTAGCCTGGGGGTTCGCAGTAACCCATAATTATATGTGGAAAAGCCTTAATATGGCCCTGAAGAAGATGAGGACTCAGTGCTTTTAAAGGCAGAGGTCTGTGGAAAAACGTGCATGCTGTTTTTTCCTGCTTAAAGCTCTTGTTTTCTTTCATCATTCAGCAAACTGAATCACACATCTATAAAGAACTTACCTGACAGAAACATCCAAAGCCAGAGAACACGGAGGAACTTCATTTTGAATGGGGATCCTATTATGTCCAGTCTATTCCAGATTTTGTTTTTTAATGCTGTGATACTGACCAACTGTTGGCGATGTTGTAGCTCTGTTATACCATCAAGCGCAGTAGTAAACATGTATGCCTATGTTCTCCTGTGCACTCTTTCTCACATGTAAGCTGGCTTCTAGGCGCCCACACACTCATATCCACAACCTGACCACTTCCTCTTGATATAACTTTTGGTTTGAATGGACATTCCCTTTTCACACAGGACCAGGGTCAGGTTAGTTCTGCCTGTCGTTGATGATAATGTGAGGTTTGAGGGTTCATGGTAATTAAAATCCTTGCATGGCATTTTTAGGTTGTCAGCAGAATATTTCAAACTAACTCTCTTTGATAAAAAACAAAAAAACAAAACAAAAATACTATTAATGAGAGAGTACAAAGAAAAATCCATCTTCTAAACCATGCCTTTACCCAAATACAGAATGATAAAACTACTAGTACCGGTAATGTTATTTTAAAGCTGTTGGGTGTACATTTGTCATTCACCAGTGAATGTTAATTTATCTGTACACAAAGAAAAGTGCATTACTGTTTTAATTCATGTTTTTTGTTTATGAAGTTTTCATCTCTAGCTTTCTAGTTTGTAGTTACTTATTGTAAATGTAATTTTAATGCTGTCAACCTAAAGGAGATTCATTTTAAACTCTGATTTTTTTTTGTCAGAAACTACATGATAAAATATAGTCAGCTTTAGTGTAGTTTAGTAAACTGCTATCAAAAGAATAGCTTGGAAAGCCACATAACATTCACTACCCGCTTCCCTCAAAATGAGGTGTCTCATTTTCACTTTCTTTGATATTTTGTTTTTTGGTTGCTGTTCATATATGTAGTTTTAGTCTCTCTGGTTGCAGAAGTTTACAGAAGATTCCAGGAACTAATTATTGAATTAGGCTTTTGTGTGTGTGTGTGTGTGTGTGTGTGTGTGTGAAGCTTATTCATATAGCAGACATTTTTGCCTGATACAAATGATGAACAATAGCAGATGAACAGAAATAATGTATCGTCAGCTTTATTATTATTATTATTTTTTCAAAATTCATTCTTTATCTTAAAAAAAAAACATTAAACAGTGGCATAACACACGTGATGCATGTATAGAGCAACAAATAAAAAACTGCCTTAACATGACAGTCTTAATGCAATTGCAGAATGGATTACAGTGGATTGTAGGCAAGTGATTGATATTTGCTCAATGATATGCAAATAAAATAAGCAGTATATATTGACATCTAAAGCCACTTTTTATAATGTCTACACAGTAATGACTTATCTTCATTTGGGGGCTGTTGTCAGCAAATATAAATGTGGTTTAAGTTATCTGTACACCTGTATATTATGTAGTTCTGACTGACAGACCTAGTCTTGGAGAGGATGCAGCTCTTCTGATTAAGTTGGGATGATCACTCTGCCATCAAGGTGCACAGGATGTTAAACGTCAAGAACTAATATTTGATATTTGATAATACTTGATTATTTAATAATAAACTTGCATTTTACAGGCTTGTTGAATTAAATGTACTTGTCTTGAACTTGAGATCTGGGATTGTTGGTCTAGAGACCAGTACTCTGAACCTTATTAATTGATGCAGCAATCAGAGATTTCCATATACTTCACTTGATTGGACTGTCCTGAGGTTTAGATTCTGATAGACTGAATCTGATTGGCTTTTTCTGACTTCAGTGTTGTCAGTAGATTTCATTTCTGTGCTGTTCTGTGCAAAAAGAAAGCACATTGTTAATGTGGCTGCCAGCCATTTGTAAAAGGATGTAAAGATTAGACATTCGACAAGAGGTAAAGATGTTTAGTTCCTGTTTGTGGTCAGTATCTGCCTTGCAGAATCACTTTCATCACTCACCTCTTCAACTTCGCCTGCATTATTTCTGTTGACAGGCATTGCTGTTGCACAACCTAAGAAATTTTTTAAAAGAGACGAGAGTATTGGCAAATTTTTTACAATTCAAATCAGGCATTGAGTTGATATTTAGCACAGTCTGTGTGTGTGTATATATATGTGCACATACTTTCTGAGGTCTCGACTCGCTTTCTGCACTGATGAACAGTAGCCACTCCAACTAAAAATAAGATCGCTGCTATGACCAGACCACCGACAACATATTGTGAAGTAGGCCTATGTGCAGACACTGAGGAAGTGAGAGAGAAAATTGGCATAAATCGATCGTCAGATCGAATAGGTATACTACCGAACTTTGCTTGGAAATTACTCGAAAACATCATCTTATATAAATCGGTGGTTATCAGACCTTGTCCTGGAGTAACCCTGGCAGATGCCATTCTGGTTCATTGTTAGCCTTGCCAAAGGCTGCTAAATGTGCACTGTACATGGTTTATAAAAAGGCTGAAGTTGTTACCTGTTACTAAGGTTGAGAGTTTGAGGGCATCGGGACTTGAATCTCTGGAGGTTAGGCTTGCTGTGGTAGATGCAGATCCTGAATGTGCTGCTGGTGTAGTTGTGTGCGAATCCAGGGATGTTTGTGTTTCTTTGTATGGTTGTGTGGAAATGGTGATGCTTTCACTTGAATCTATGTGTGAGGAAAGAAAATGTAATACCGCCAAGAAAATAGGGAAAGACATTGGAGACACATTGTGCAGAAGACTCATCTGGTTCCTGTGGTCTTGTCCCGGTGTGGTCTTGTCATTCTTACCTTTAGATACTGTCAGTCTGATTGTGTTATATGTGTCTGTTACAGCTCTCTTCACTCCACACCAGTAAATGCCAGAGTCTGACTCCTGTAGATCAATGATGTTCACGGTGAAGGTGCCATTTCCAAAATCCTGCAGTCTGTATCTTCCACTAAGTGACTGATCAGATGAGACCAGAACACCAGTTTTAATGTGCATGGTTCTCTGCAGAAATACTTGCTGTTTTTTAATGCCCATTTATGGGAACATGTAATTACGACATATTTTCCACTGTGTCCATGTATATTAATCTCTTTGGTGATAGTAATTGCAAATCCTGTTGGATTTAAAAAAAGAAAGAAAAGATCTCAGTATTTCACTAAATTCATTTTAGATTAACATCACAGCGAGTGATGAGTTAAGTCAGATTAATGATATGTGCCAATGTAGAGATTGTACCGTAAGAAACACATTTTTTTTTAAAGAAACAAAATTTGGAAACTTAATAAAGGGAGCCATGAGAAAACTGACCTGACAGAAAGATCCAGAGCCAAACACAAAATGACTTCATTTTGAGCTGTAATTCTGTTGTGTGTGAGCTTTCCGCTTTAACCGAGCAGCCTTTAAGTCTCCAGATAATGGAGGGAATGGGCATGTTTGTGTCTTCACAGCCCTGAAATACCACAGATGCTTGCAGATGACCACTTCCGTTGTAATGCATTGGTCTGAGCAGTAATGTTTCTGTCTGTATGTACTGATATATCAGCACACTGAATGCATCTGAAAACTTACAACATCCTGTAGTTGTCATTAGTGGTTCTAGTTCAAGACACACGGTGGCCACTGGCCAGTGCCGAACTAATTTTGCCAACCCAGAAACACTTGTTGTTTGGTGAAAAGAGGTATATTTTGAGATGGGCCATCTGTATAAAAGCTTAGTTATTGTATACTGCAATTATTATTATTCTGGTAGAGGTAAAATGATTTCAATATAAAATTACACATAGGAGCTTTTAAGATGACACTGAGAAATACACAACACAATACTAACTGGTTAATGCATGTAAATAAAATAATTATTTAGAAAAACACACGTAGAGACTATGATTATGAAGTTTTATTGGCATATGGTAATGTTTACATATTGATAGTTGAACTGATATCTATGAGTTGTAAGGTTGTCCAAGATAGAACCAAACAGCCATGCAAAATATGATTATACAAAATAAACTCAGTACAGGACCAGGAATTGTCAACAAGTGGAACAACAATTATCTAGCCAAACAAACAAACAAACAAACAAAAAATAAAAAAAAACAGAATCAGACATAGTGCCCTTGTGGTCATACAAGGAAGTACAAAATACTTGTCACCTATATACATGTATTCATAAATAGATTTTTTTTCTTCATAAACATTTTAATATTTGAGCTTCTAGAATGCCTTTACTCGACATGTGTTTTTGATCTTATAACCATCAGATTTAGACTGGTTCTCTGAATTTCTTTCCTTAACACTAGGACCAGAGATTTCCATAGAGTGCATGTGAATTCTCGTAGACTGAATATACTTGGCTCTTTTGCTCTTGTCTGGTTGTAGTCCTGTTGATAGGTTTTATCTGTGTGCTGTTTGTCTCAGGAGAGCCATTCTCATATACACGGTCGTCCTGCATCAAGAAAACACAAGTTCACTGGGTCATTGCAAAACAATATGTGGCTGGGTATTTTTGATCCTTTTTAAAGGGATAGTTCACCCTGCACTTATAAGTCTGCGATCTGCCGTAAAGCAAGAAGAAGAAGACTCGTCATGCGCCTGCTGTTGCGCTCAGGACTCGTCAGTGAGTGATGTACACAGTCTTTGGCATCACTCACGTCTTCAGCTTTGCTTTCATTGGGCAGCGTGAAGCCTGTCAACAAGCATATGGAAACATATTAATGGCTCTATTTAATTGTATTTAAATTAAATTGGTTTTAAAATGTTGATATTAGACAGGGTTTGTTTATATATGTGCACATACCTTCTGATATCTTGAATTTTTTTCCTGTGCTGATGAACGGTGACCAATCCAACTGCAAATATGATCATGCCCAGACCACCGACAGCATACAGAACAGCCGTGGCCAAAAGTTTTGAGAATGACACAAATCGCCGCCATGGAATTATAAGGTTCTATCTGCATTCTGAGTGATTTTGAGATATTGAGCTTCAAAGATTTTGCATTCCATATAGTAAAAGTGATATGGGGAACAAGTCTCTTTCATACATGAAAATGACAGAGACCCTAAATGTATTCTAAATGTACAATATCAAAATCCTCTCAAATTTGTAAATGGGGATTTTTGGAACAGGTCAAATGCAGATAGAACCTTCTAATTCTAAAAAGTCATTTTCCGCTTGGAATTATAAGGTTCTATTTTGCAAAACATTAATTGAAGCAACAATTTTCAAGAAATACAAACAGTTTACTTATAATTTGTTTTAAAACATAAAATTAGTGTATGAGAAAGGTAAATTGAATGCTTTTTATGAAATTTATTTCATATTTTAGGACAAATAATTTTTTTTCTTGTTCAAGTAAAGCATAAAAGGTAGTGCTAAATATTATGTCCAGTGCAAATGTTAATTTTATGCAGGAATATGGTGGGTAATTAAACACATCATTGCAGGAACGCAGACTTATAAGTGCATTACCCCCATAAACCAATTTAATTTATATACAATTAAATAGAGCCATTAATATGTTTCCATATGCTTGTTGACAGGCTTCACGCTGCCCATTGAAAGCAAAGCTGAAGACGTGAGTGATGCCAAAGACTGTTGCCTTGTCCAAATGCCCACACTTGCAGTCTTTACACTTGACCACTTGACTACTTACATGACGTATTTCCTGTGTGTTCAAGTGAGCATGAAGACCACAAGTGTGTGTACAACTTTTCATTACCTGATGGGACACACTTATAGTGTTGTAAAAGCGCAAAGTGTTTACAGAGTTTTATTATTATTTTCAATACTTTGCATTTTAAAATCAACTTCTAAATGTCTGTTCAGTAGTCCTATAGATCAGTGTTTCCCAACCTTTTTTTAGTCGCGGCACCCTTTGGAAATTTTAACAAACTTGTGGCACCCTACAAAATAAATTTTGTCACAATATTTGAATTTCTAACTTCGATATGATAATTTGAAAAGTATAATTTATATGACAGATTTTAATGTAGGCTTTTATACATATGTAAACATTATTTAATTACCATTATAACTAGCTATCTCACACATTTGTGCTCACTCAGTGTTTTTTTAATTTTACAGTGGGGTAATTTTGGTGCAATTAGTTCTTCCCGAGTCACATTAAAGATTCGTTCAAAATGAACGAATCGTTCAAGAACGACCCAACACTACTAAATAAAAACCTTGCTGCTCAAATAAGGCAATGAGGCATTAAACAGTCGGACAGCCCACAAATATATTTATTTACACAATAAAAAAACACATTCAGTTATGAGATCTTTGCTTACACCAAACATGCAGTTTGTAGTCCACAATTTTTTTTGAAGCATGTAGAGTATTTTTTTTGTAAAATGCACAGTGTTATAGGTTACTGTGTCTTCTGACCTTGTACTTGGTCCACAACCTTGAGCATGCATGCTAATGGCTGCATATGTAAATGACTGTTGTACAAGTGTTGGGGATTGTGTGTGTATTAATCTGCAGATGGGTCTCTGTGAGCTTCTTGTAATTACCGGCAGTGTTCAGAGAAAAAAAATAATACTTTTCTGTATTTTAGATATAATCACAAGTCAATTCACTATGTAACTGCATTTATGTCCATAAATAACGTGCTACACAAATGGTCCACTAGAGGACAGTATCAAAGGAGATGTACACAGTTATTGCTAAACATACATACAGCATTACATAGAATCATTTACTGATATTTGACAGCTAGAAGGCTTGACAATGAACAAATAGAAAGCTAACAGCTCTACCATGTTTTGTCAACTTCTGAGGTTTGTGCAATTGAATGCCTTATTACAAAACTATTGTAAATACGCATACTTTGAAATATTATAATAAGTATTCAGATTTTTGTCTCTCACCTCTGTAGTATAAGCGGTGTCTTGGATTTCAGCATCAACTTAAATTTTAAACAGTAAAAAAAAAAAACTGCATTAGACATATTGTAGGCAATATTTTATGAAAAAGTGCCATGCATCTGTGCTTACGATCGTAGCTGTGTGACTTTCTCCAACCCACCACTCCAAATATAATCACCATCACAGTCAGACCAATGGCTGTGATAATCAGAGGAACTAAAACATACATAGACAGGGGAAACGTGACAGACTGTTATGTTAGTCATGTGATTGATGAAATAGTCACACTGACATTGCGGTAATATCTCACCAGGGTGAACCTGGTGTAGAAACTAAGTTACGGGGGCGTGCACTTCAAGGAAGGTAGCTTGATCATGAAATGTTTCTGGCAGATCTCACATTACATGCAAAGATGTGGCAACTAATGTTTGTTCATTTCATTTTATAGTGTGTAGAGAAATAATCCTTACCTGAGGAGAGTGAATATTGTGCACTGCTCTCATTAAATGCTGGTTTGGATGAAACAACAGGACCTTTAAATCCTTTAAATATACAAGAGAGTCAACATAATTCCATAATTTGATACATAGATAAATACAATAATATTCTGATTAGTTCAGTACCTGTTGAAGATGAGGTTGTGGTGTCACCAGATGCTGAAGATGTGGAGAATGAACTTTGTGTCATGGAGGATTGAGAACTTGCTGCTGGTTTAGGAGTTGTGGGTCTGTTTGTGTCCAAGGCTATAATAGTTATTATTAACATGCAGATGAGTATTTTACACTTACTTAAATCTACACCAAATCCTGTGCATCATTCTTACCATTAGATACTGTCAGTTTGACTTTCTTATATGTGTCTTTAACAGATCTGTCCACTGCACACCAGTAAATGCCAGAGTCTGACTCCTGTAGATCAGTGATGCTCACAGTGAAGGTTCCAGCTCCATGATCCTTCAGTGTGTATCTTCCTGTAGGTGACTGGTCAGATTTCACTAAAACATCTCTGTCTTCACATGGTTCTCTGCAGAAATACTTTATATTGGTTGAAGCCATGCCGTGGGAACATGTAATTGTGACACCTTTTCCACTGTATCCATGTATATCAGCTCCATCTGTAACCGAAATTCCTGTTGAATGCAATAAAAATGTATATAATACACAAGTATGTGCCATGAACCAACTGATAGCAAGTTATCTGACACAGTCTGTTGGGGTAGTTTTCTGTCAGTATTATAGTTGCTACTGTCTAGGGCTGTAACAAATGATTACTTTGATGATTGCTCAGTCTATCGATTATTTTTTAGATTAATCAATTATTTTTTTTCACATTGAATCTATTTAGGCCTATTATTTTCCTATTAGACTTAAAATCCTTACCAATAACCTTAGTTAACCTACCAATAAACAATGACCATCACTTCTGCCATTAATATTTCAACATGATATTTACACAAATATCCTCAAAAGGCCTCCTGTACGA